CGAGGAGTTAAGACTTGTTGCGCTCTGAGGTTCAGCTGACCACTGGGCCAGTCCTGCCCATCCTCACTTCCAGGCTGATCTGACACCAAGCCCCTGGGTCACTCCCCCTTCATTCGATTTAAACCTCGGGTGCCCTGTCCCCTCAGCCCAAACTGTCCACTCTCATTAACAGGAGACTCTGATGTGCCTCCTATCCCCGTGTCCCTTCCTCCCCATGTCCAGTAACCAGAGAAGTGATGATACCAAAGCAGCTGTTTGTTGTGTGGGGTCCCCTCTCTTCAGCCCTCTCTGGCCGGGGGTCTTCCTGCTGCTCTACACCCCCACCACCACCACCCCATCAGCCACCAGAGCTGAAGCTTTTGGTGACTTGGCTTCAGTTGGACAGATTCCTGTTGAGCAATTAGCCTCTAAAAGAATCAGGCCTGTGACTTGAATTCTCTTGGAATTTCCCACCTAACTGCATCAGCCCCACGTTGTCTGTCTGTCTGTCGTATAGTGATCAGAACCTTTTCTTTCCTTTTTTTCCCTTGTGAATTCCTGGTCACTGCCATCACTGACTTCTTACGTCTGACTTGTTTTCCTCTGTAGTGATGGGGAGTGGGGTGTGTGGTGTATTGGGTCTCCTAGAGACCCCTGAGTCTAACTGAGCAAGCCCACAGGCAGAAATGCAATAGCGGAGGCAGCAGCAGTTCCTGTCCAAAAAGACACAGGGGTTTTAGTGGAGTCGGTTCAGCACTCTTAATTGTTCAGTGATCGTCTGCCCTGGGGAAGAACCTGTCCCAGAAAATGGGGTACCAACTTGATGAGAGTTGGCCCTGCCCTTGAGGTGTCTTGGGACAACCGGGGTGAGAGAGGACATACAGGCACCCATTCCCGCCCTGGACGAGCCCAGGAAGGGCTTTTATCAAACGAGGATGCTCAGATGGAGTCTCGAAGGACCAACAGGAGTTTGGAGAGGAGGTGAGGAGCAGGTGGAGACCGTAGGAGGAGGGAGCAGAGTGGATGAAGGATCAGGCCAAGGTGGACCCAGAGAGTCACAAGACTTTCACGCTTCCTGGTGGAGGCAGGAGTGACAGGAGTGTCTGGAGAGGGGGCTAGTGTGTGAGGACGGCTCAGACCAGGGCACAGGTGGCGGTCAGGCTGCCCAGGGAAAGTGCATGGAGCGAGAAGAGAGCTATACCAGAACCCTTGCCAACAGCAGCCCACAAAGTGGAGGAGGAGCCAGCCGGGGCCAGCTGCGAGGGAGGAAGAGAACCAGGTCCCAGGTGCGAGCGGAGGGGAGGGGAGGTGCGGTCTGCAGGGTGCGGTCAGCCAGGCAAGACCTGATGCCGTTGAAAGGCAGGAAGGTTTTTGACGGGGAAGTCCTCGTGGATGATGGGGCAGCTGTGGAGCCAGGCAGCTTGGTTCTCTGATCTACGCTTCTTAAGTTCTATGGGTCATAGAATCCCCCTAGAACTGTCCGTTTAGAGGATCACAGCAGGAGATTTGGGTGGGAAGCACTGAGTCTGCACACAGTAGGTGCTGCCTAACTGCTTGCAGTTCCATGATCATCCCCATTTTCCCGTCTACAGTACATCACTTTCCCACAGGGAGGTAATCTTTTAAAGTTGTTAACTGGAGCTTATCCCTTCTCAGCTTAAAAAAACCCTTCAGGATAAAGGTAGAACTTGTACAAGGACCTGCGTGCAGTGACCCTAAAGTGCTGTCTCCTGCCGAGTCCCCCACCGTCCCCCAGGCCTTCAGGCCCTAGCCAACCCACCTCCTTCCAAGCCCCCCCCCACACCGGCTAGACCTCCTGCTGCTTAGGAGTTACCCCAGAGCCCCTCCTTGCCCACCATCCCCAGCTCCCAGCGGGAACAGCACTTCCTGGGGGAGCCCGGAGAGTCTTCCTGTTCACGCCACATCAGCCACGGCTCCTAGTAACCTGGTGGACCTGTTCCTATCTCCTACAGGGTTCAGTTCAGTCCAGTCGCTCAGTCATGTCTGACTCTTTGCAACCCTGTAGACTGCAGCATGCCAGGCCTCCCTGTCCATCACCAACTCCCGCAGTTTATTCAAACTCATGTCCATTGAGTCAGTGATGCCTTCCAACCATCTCATCCTCTGTCATCCCCTTCTCCTCTTGCCTTCAGTCTTTCCCAGCATCACGGTCTTTTCAAATGAGTCAGCTCTTCACATCAGGTGGCCAAGGCATTGGAGTTTCAGCTTCAACATCAGTGCTTCCAGTGAATATTCAGGACTGATTTCCTTTAGGATGGACTGGTTGGATCTCCTTGCAGTCCAAGGGACTCTCAAGAGTCTTCTCCGATACCACAGTTCAAAAGCATCCATTCTTTGGCGCTCAGCTTTCTTTATAGCCCAACTCTCACGTCCATAACATGACTACTGGAAAAACCATAGCCTTGACAAGACGGACCTTTGTTGGCAAAGTAATGTCTCTGCTTTTTAATATGCTGTCTAGGTTGGTCATAACTTTCCTTCCAAGGAGTAAGCATCTTTTAATTTCATGGCTGTGGTCACCATCTGCAGTGGGGGAGCTCTGCAAAAGCAGGGCCCTGTGTGTTCTGCCACCCTGAGTTCCCCCTCCCCAGGTCTGGGTTGACTGGGCCAGGGCTCCCTTGGCCATCTCTGACGGCTGTCTAGCTGATCTTGCTCTGTCTTCTCAGCCAAAGAGGAGGCTCCCCCCACATGCTGTCACCCAGGTCGGCCTGTTTTCTGAGGTTCCGCCAACACCTGCCTCCTCTGCAAGCCTGCTGGAGTGCTGCCGTGCTGTGCCAGCATTTTGTGTCCTTAGTTAGGTGGGGCATACCTTCTTAGGGCTTTCGGGGCTCAGCGGTCTCAGGGCATGGCAGTGCTGAAGCTCAGTTCTTCCCCGGCTCCTGGAAAAGCCCTCGGGGTACAGTGGGTGCAGCGCTGGCACGTGGGGCACACCACAAGTGTGCAGCCAGTGCATCACACAGGCCCCCGTTCTGGAGGACCCCACTCTGGGTTCAAGGCTCTGCTATTGCCATCTTGAAATGCTTAAAGATATTCGACCCAGGTCCCCACGTTTTCACTCTACACCAGGCTGGGTTCCTCCTTGCAGGGCCGGTATGCAGAGCCAGGAGAGAACCTGGGGATCTGCAGACCCCGAGGCCCCCACTCAGGGCCGGCCGACCCTCTCCACAGGGCTGCCTGTCATTGTTTTAGCTCTGCTCAACCACAACCACAGTCAGTAATTTATTCTTCTGTTTGCTCAGCTCTGCTGACTGAGTGCTGTGGTCGGAGGCATCGATCACCTGCTTCAACCCTCTGCAGCTCTCCTTCCCCTCCCAGGGTTCCCAAAGCAGCCCATCCTCAGAGTCACTGCTGGCCTGGTTCCAGGGATTTCTGGGCTCCACCCCCTACCCTGCCTCAGGCCTCTGAGCAGACTCCCCAGGTTGGGGAGCTGAGTCTGTTGTTAGCGAGCTCCCAGGTGCCTCGAGTACTGCCTCTGCGCTCCGGTGGGCAGAATAGAGTTCGAGAACCTTCATCCAAGCAGATAGATCCCAAAGCCCATAGTGTGGCTTCTGGCACCCTTTCCAGTCTGGCTGTGGCTTTGTTTCCCACTCTAGCCCTGCAACAAAGTGGCCCCCTGACTGCCTGTACGTAGGTTAGGTCCTGTCTCCTGTAACCCACATCCAACTCGGAGGGGCTGTCACCGGAAGCCCTGTGCCCCTGCTTTCAGGCTGAGTGCACAGATTTTATCCTCCTTGGAGCACATTTCCTGGTGCACCCCAGTTTGTTCCAGCCCCTCTGTCCCCTGTAGCCTGGAGCTCCTTGTGGGAAGAGCTCGCCTCTGTGTCCCCCTTTCATCAGGAAGGAGTCGGCAGTGCAAGTTTACAGCACACGCATCCCAGTGCCCTGTGGACACTCCCCTCACGTGATGTGTCACTGGTCCCCCCGCACCCAGCAAGGCCCCACCGCCTGCTCCAGCGGCCAGCCCAATGGCACCGGTGTTCACCATCAGGGCTCACCCCACAGCTCAGCCACCTCACTTACAGTCCGTGGCTCTCCTCCTGGACCTGTGGGAACAGGCCCCACCCAGAGAGCCTGCCTCCCAGAGCTGTTCTAGAAGACTATGTGTTTGTTGTATAAAAGGGGCCACGTGTGGAACGTCAGCTTCCTTTATTTGATCTGTACCCTCCGTCCCAGTCTCTCCTGTTTGGGGAACGACTGTGTGCCTGGAGCTCAAGCCGCTGAGCAACTTCAGACCGGCCCCAGTCGTACCATGAAGGGGTGAAGGTCTGTGTCCCACAGACCTGTTGGTTTTAAGTGTCTTTCCTATTATCGTTGTCTTGTCTTCTCAGCATTCATTAAAAGGCAGCTGATCACACCAAATGGATTATGTGCTTTGAACGAGGACACACTCAGGCTCTGGGCATTGTGAGCCTTAATGGCCAACACCTGCGCCATAAAAGACGCACTGGGTCAATTGATGGTGCTTTCTGAGCATCTGCTGTGTGCTCCCACCTGAGGGGGACGTGTGCCGCTCACAGCAGTTCAGAGGAGCATGCTATTCTGATTCTCAGTGGGCCTCGTTTCCTGGGCTCACCTGGTAATAACCCCTAACATCTTCCTTCACCAAGTGCTTCCCGGGACAGGCATGGAAGCCACTGGGTGGATAACGGGACCAAGACGACGGGACAAACCGAGGCTTGTGTTCAGAGCTGAGCATCCTGGTCCCCTTGGCGCACTTTGCCCAGTGAGCAGAGATCAGGGTTAAGTCACCCACCTCCTCCAGGCACCTGAGACATCACGTAAGGCTTGGGAAACCCTTTCTTCCTCCTGGATGTCCTTCCCCATAGGGAAAAGGTAGCTGCCAATGTCCAAAACCTTCTCAACTCCTTGGGGATCTCGAGCTGCTTGGGTAGACGGAGGCCTGCTGTGCTGTGGGCTGATGGTGGCGCCTGTGCTTTCTGAGCCTCGGGGACTGCACCATGCTCCCAGTAACCTCCTTTTTTCTCCTCTGTCCTCCTCAGGCACATCTCTCTCACGCTCCCCGCTACCTTCCGAGGCAGGAACAGCACTCGGGCTGACTATGAATACCAGCACTCCAATCTCTATGCCATCTCAGGTAGGTGGGCCCCACCAAGGGCCAGCGAGCACCTCTGTGTCCCGGGCACCGCCCGCCGCTGTGCATCTCGCTGGTCGCTCTCCCCCTGCAAGGGGCCTGCTCCCCGCAGGGCCCAGGCCTCCCCTTTCCTCCGTGTCGCCGCAGCACGTAGTGACGGGCCAGATCCTCAGCATGTTTTGAAACTAATGATGAAAAACAGTGTGTGGGTCTCGCAAGCTTGAAGGGAGGTTTCCGGAGAATAGTGACCACATTGTTCACCTGCCAGGTCCAAGCCAGGTTCCCCACAGGGACCGGGGACCGTGCAGACCCGAGGCCCATTGCCGCCTGCCCTCCTGTCCACGTCTGTCCTCACCTCTCATTTCTCAAGACCAGGTTTGCGACCAGAGGGTACACGGGCGGCCTCCCCCCAACCCACCACCCCCACCTCTGTCATATGAGTCTGTGATTTCCGAACTCGACCTTGAAATGGATAGTGTTACCTTGGCAGGAACTTCATCAGTCCCAGTTTTCTTTTTCACCTTCACCCAGAGAGGGAAAAACTTACAAAGCCTTATTACGGAATTGAGATTCATTAGGTGGCAGGCAGTGCAGGTGACTTGCTAAGAGTTGAGGAAACCCACGAACTTGACTCCGATTATACGGGGGCCTCCAGTCGGGGGCCTTGGTGTATCGGGGGAAATGGCACATTGGTGCCACTTACCAGAGCATGCCCCTAATGGTGAGTGACATTTTGAACACGGGAACATGGCATTCATTCATGTACCATAATGAACCGGTTATTTGAAAGGTAATCTTTTTTTCTAAAAATTGCAACTTCAGGGTACTAAATAGATGAACTAGAACAATGGTATAATTCGTGTCAGTATTAGTTTTTCTTGTTATGATCGCTCCCTAATAGGTTTGGAAGGATAAGCAAAGGCCAGTTGTTCCATTTCTGGGTGGCACTCCTGCTGGGAAAGGGGAGCGACACGGAGGTCCCCACAGCCCTCGTCCTGGCCCCATGCCAGCAGCCGAGTCCCCAAGGGTAGCAGGCACGTGTTGTCTGAGAGCAGCGTCTCCAGGGAGAATTTCTTCTGTGCTCTGGCTATTTCAGCAGAGGCGACAAGGAGCATAACAAGTGTGGAAAGATGACCTATTTTGTAGAAAAGCTGACTATTTCCCCAGATGCTTAGTGGCAGAGTGGTGCAAAACAGGCCTGTGAAATCCAGCGGGGTGAAATCCCGCTCCGAATGCACATATAGGCGGCTCAACCAAAGCAGATGCCTTTTCCCCGCTCCAGCTTGCAAATCTTTTTCCAGCCACAGGGTCTGGCTGCCCCACCTCACCTGGGCGCTCTGATGGCTTCCCCAGCTGTTGACGTTTCTGCAGAGAAGGGCCCACGGAGTGAAATCTCTGGTTTGGCAGGAATGTTCCTGTCTGCCCCTGGACCACTGCTTCCTCGCCCCGCAGCTTTGATGAGGTGTTGTCTGGGTTCATTTCAGCTGTTAGTTTAGCAGTACCGGGGTAACAGCCTCAAGACACAGGGGAAACCATTCAGGAACTTCCTGTTACATTTATGTAAGTGGCAGTCAATTGGATTTTATCTTCCAAACAGAGGTAGTTTAGGCCGCAACCCACAGCAGCAGGCAGCTCGGGCCTCCTCAGCGGCTGCAGGCCCCAAATTGCTCCGCCAGGGTCCAGGATTGCTTCATTGTGAGGCTGCCAGGCATGCCCCGCAGGGCCCGCTGGCTCCGTAAGGCCTGCAAGCTCAGCACTGGGCAACCGTGGTGCAGCTGGGAAGCCTGCCCGCCTGCCCGCCCACCAGCAGCCTGCCTGCGAGCCGATCTGGCTAGGGGGAAGCAGAGACACCCTCCCCCCTGTCACCCCCCGTTCCAACAGTGTTTGGCACCAAATGGCACGTCTCAGTTTGGTATTGCGAAGTTAGGGTTTCAAAGGTTTATTCCAGAAACAGTCACGGTAACGGGTGCCCCAGGCCCAGCCCGTGCCCGGTGCCTGCTGCCATGATGGCTGGGGCCCTGCTGGTAACGGATTGAGCCACCACGCTGTTCTCCTTCCAAACCAGCCCTGCACACGTTCGCTGCAGACCTCAGGCCCTGAGCCTTTGGTTCAAACTCCTGGTCTGCTCTGGCTCTTTCCTGAAAACACTTGATTACCGCTCCCTTCATTTGCAGTCCCTTCTTAAGATAAGTAGATTTCCAAACAAGGTAATTAGAAATTTGAAAAGCAGCCCACGTTTCATTTGTACATGAGGTTATTAAAGTAATATTTACTTTTGCGTATTTTCCCAAGGGCGTACTGTTACGATCTCCCCTCTGTACTTTCACTGAGACAGTTCTTTTGTGTCCTGCCTGCAGCGGAGTAACACTGCTGGGGGGTCTGGTGCGGACCATGTGTAGCTCTGTCCCAGGCACACAGAGGTGCTCCTGAAACACTGAGAGGAAGGGAGGGAGGAAGAAAAGCTTTTAGCCCATGTCTACCTTGCCCAGAAATACCCTTTATGACATCTCAGGGAGGCGAGCATCCTAAATGCTATTTGAGCCCTCCAGCACCTGGGGCCACCACCTCTGAGCAGCCCAGCCCATCTCCGCAAGGTCCTCCTGTGTTCAGCCATGCTGTCTCGCTGTACATTCATATCTGCCCAGTCATTTGGGGTACCACGCATCCCATCAGCGATGCGTGCCAACTATTCTCCACCATCCAGCCCATGGGTAGCTCTCTCCTGCCCACAGAATTGGGGTGAGGAACTTCTACAGCCTCTGTGCTAAAATCATGAGACGCTTACTCCTTTCTCTGCCAGCTATTACCCTCATCAGAATGGCCACAAAGCACAACTTTGATCCTCACACTTCCTCTTCCAGGAATTTCCTCTGGAAAATGCTTACAGATGTGCAAAAAAAGATTTATCCGCAAGGGCGAGCACTGCTGCTTTTTAAATGTAATAATTCAAAAAAAGAGGTGGGGGGTGGATATCCTAAATGTCTAAAACAAAGGCAAGTCGGTTAAATTATGAAACCTCCATACAGTGGCCTTAACTTCTCAAGCATCAAACAAATTTTTTATTTAGATAAAAAGGTGTGCGTGAATACTGCTAAGTGACAACCAGAGTGTGCAGTGTGATCTCATTTTAAGGGATATATCCACAGACCTGGAAATGTATACACCAAGATGTTCACAGTGGTTTTCACTGGGTTTTCCAGCTCTTCTTTTTGTTTCTTTGCAGTGTCTCACTTTTCTATGATAACACATGTTACTCCCATAATAAGAAAAAATACAGGCTTGGGGTTAATTCAGCACACTCTTGGGAAGCTTCCCAAGTGGGCATCGTCTTTTCTGAGGGCTCACAAGCCTTCCTCTGAGTGCTTCACCAGGACTTCCCTATGACTCAGATGGTAAAGAATCTGCCTGCAATTCAGGAGAACCTGGGTTCAATCCTTGGGTTGGAAAGATCCCCTGGAGAAGGGAATGGTAATGCACTCCAGTTTTCTTGCCTGGAGAATCAGTCCCATGCACAGAGGAGCCTGGTGGGCTACAATCCATGGGATCACAGAGTCAGACACGACTGAGCAACTAACACTCTCACTGACTCATACTATGCTTTCGAATTCTAATGGAAATCACTCCCAGATCACAGATCAATAGCTTCTTCTTGTCCCTTTTTATGGACATGATTGTTTTCTGTTGTTCAGCCCCCTGGACCCTCCTGTCCACTGATGTTCCTCAGAGATCACTGACCATCTTCTGCATCTGCATCTTCTGGCCCTCCAGTCCCCACCTGAGCCCGAAAGCACCTGGACGTGCCTGCTGTCACCTCACCTTTCTTGCTCCTCAAATCCCCCATCACCATGTTATTCACTCTCTAGGGTTTGAGGGTGGTTTTCCTTGAAAGAGTAGATGAAGTAAAATGGTGGGTGCCTGGTGTGGCCTACTCTGTAACCCACCTATATTAGGGTCGGCAAACCACTTTTTAAACTGGTCTCACTTGTGATCAGGATCCGCTGGCAGGCGCATACTTTCCTGATGGTGTTCTCACTGCTGTGTCTCCCTCGGTTAGATGCCCTTGAGGTCTTGTCCCCCGGGAGGACACTCTTCAAGGCTGTGTTGATTTCTCTACATTCTGTCCCAGAGCCCCAGTTCCTGAGTTTCCTTATCAGAACTTCTAGTGACTTAGTTTTCTTTTAAAGAACATCTTCTTGCTCCTGAAAATCTTTTACTTTGGTCCCAGGTGATGGTGTCCTCCCCTCCCCCCTTTTTTTTCTTATCATTTTTTTTTTAGATGTTTATAGATGTCTGAGCACTTATTCATTTCTCTTCCACTTATTTGAGAAAGTTTTAAGATAACTCTGAAAACACATGTAGCAAAGTGAAAATGGAAGGGGAAGAGCAGAAGTGAATGAAAATATGGGATAGCAGAGTAGGGTGCAGCCGTGGGTGAAGTTTTGCTTTCATGAAGGGGAGATTCCAGGTTTGGCCTGGAGTCAGCAGTCTTTTTATAGACAACATAGAAACAAGCCAGTTGTTTGGGAAGAACGTTAGCTATTCCCTTTATGAATTCTTCCTCATAGAGAGGGCCCTGCAAGGTGCTGGAAACAACAGAAGAGTTGCTTTTCAGTGAGCTTGATAAGTATAGATTGTGACATACTCATGTTTGAAACCCTAAATGTTCGGAAGTTGGATGCAGTGATTTTTTTTTTTAAACTATGCCGAGTCTTCACTGCTGCACACCCACTTTCTCTAGTTGATCAGGGGCTACTCTAGTTGCCGTTCCCAGGCTTCTCATTACAGTGGCTCCTCTTGTTGCAGAGGACGGGCTCTAGGGCACACAGACTTCAGTCATCATGGTGCAAGTGCCCAGTGGCTCCGAGGCACGTGGGGTCTTCCCTGACCAGGGATCGAACCAGTGTCCCGTGCATGGGCGGGGGAGTTCTTAATCACTGGGCCACCAGGGAAGCCCGCATGAGATGTTTCTTAAGAAATGTCCTTGTGCTGGGCATCAGACCAGG